GGAAAATTTGATTAGGGGGTATAGTTCGAGAATTAAGTTGGCCTGAGTGTCCTTGGTATAAGACCAGAAACACACGCGTGTGGGTGCCTAAGCCCTCTGGTTAGGAGCCAGTAAGATAGGATTTGGTAGTGCTTGATATGCTTACTTGCAGATTCTAGGGATTTGCTTGAGACGTATTTGTCACCTCATTTTAAATTTTGGATTTATTGAGATGATGAAGTAATTCTTTTGAAAGATCATGGCAACTAATATATTTTTTTAAAGCAAGGCTTATAATGTTGTGGCATGGTATGACATTGCATACACATATATATGATAGAGTGCTTAAACATATATACTTTGTGCTGTTACTCCTACTAGGTTTTGTGCTCACCCCTAGTGGATTTGTGCAGGAAAGGATGTGGTGATCTCGCCAGGCTGAAGGCGTGGAAAGTCTTTTGGGAGCAAGAGCTCTTTTCTTTTGTAATTATTTTGTCAAGCCAAGAGCTTTAATTGTATGGGTTAGTCGACCCCTTTTATATAACTAGGCCTGAGCCTCAGAACTTGTAACCCTTGAGGTATTTCCTTTTTGTTATTTATTGTGGTTATATGGTCTCACATGCTATAGATTCAACTTAAGAAGGTTTGAATATGTAATGCATGTGAATCTCTTTTGTAAAATCTCTTACCAAAAAGAAATATGAATTTAGAGATCTAATTTATGAAATTGGAATTGTCTTTGGATGGATTATTTGGTTGTTTGATTTATGTCTTTTATTTGGGGGCTTTACAGCTTTGACAGCTCCATTAGAGATCCTCTAAGCATATGAGTCAAAACCTTTTCTTAGTTGTAAATATAGACAAATGGATTGTTGGTTAATTTGAGGGAGAGAAGGAAATACTTTTATTGTAGAGTTTCTAATTGTACTTTAAAAATATTGTTAGACACTTACATTTCATGACATTTAAAAATAAAATAAAAGTATAACCCTAGCAAATTATCAACAAAAACAAAATTTTAGACTATGTTTGGTGTGGCTTTGAAATCATGATTCCATCCCTCCGTTTGCATGCACTGTTTGGACGGAGTTTTGAAAATGTGATTCCATTACACATTTCAAAATAGTTTTCTCTTTCATGTTTGGATGGAGTTTTCAAAACATATTTCTCTTTCACGTTTCGTCTTCTACAGAGTTTTAAAATTTTGGGTCTACCTAGTCATTCGCTTGAATGTCCGATCGATTGACCGAAATAGTTTTTTTTTTTTTTTTTTTTTTTTTTTTCTTTTTTTTTTTGCAATTGATCACATGTTGTGTTATGATTTTGAACATTCTTCATCAGCGGATTGAACTAATTCAGGTTGTCCAGCGACGAAATCGAGAAGCCTTTTGGTAGCTTTTTTAGCTGGAACTTCAGTAGACAGTGGTGAGGACTTGGCGAAGAGGACGACGGTGACGAGGAACAGAGCAGTGGAGAGAAAGGGGGGCCAAAGGTAGGCTAGGACGTCAAGAAACCTGAGAGCCAAGTAGATGAGAGAGAAAATCATCAGAGAAAGCTATGGCGAACAAGATATGGAATTTGAACTTTAGAAGCTTTCTTGAGATCTCCATAGCTCGGCTTGGGTTTCAATTTGAACTTGAAGAGGATGAAATGAGGCTCAAGATAAGTTCTTAAACACTTGGCTGGGTTTTTGCAATATTTCTAGAGAGAGAGAGAAATTGCTATTTTTGTCTCTATTCAGAGATTCTCTGCCGTGAATTTTGATTTAAAGCTTTGAGGACTGTAAACTTTCAATTTCATAAATGCACATAAAAAAAAAATACAGAAAAGTATTGGAAAAAAATATATGCCGCCCATTTTATTTTGGGTGTCATCTTTAAGAAAAATTGCACTTCAGTATAAGTTTTGAAAAGAAATTATGGTTGTGTTTGGTAGAGTTTTAGAATTATGATTTGATAATAGAGTTGTATTTTGAGTTTGGTTATGAATTTTGAATAGAATTTTCAATAAAGTTTTGAATTGTGTGTTTGATTATGAGTTATAAGTTTTTATATTAAGTTTTTGAATTAAATTTTGAAAATTCTTTTCAAAACTCATAACCAAACAAATTCTCATTTCATATGTTACGTCAAAAATTCAAAAATCTTTTCAAAACTCAAACCAAACAAATTTTCTCTTTTCAAATCATAATTTCAAAACTCACAAACTCAAAATACAACTCTATTATCAAATCATAATTCTAAAATTTTATCAAACGCAACTTTAATTTTCTACAAGCCCCTTTTTTCTCGACACCACTCTCAGATACCTTATTCTTCCCATTTTGATTACTGCCACATCTTCGACAGCCATTCTAATCTCTTTTTTTGCCACTTCCAATCCCTAACTGCTATCGCCTACGTCGTTCCCTTCTTCTATATGACTCCCTCTCTCTCCATTCTCATGACTCTCTCTGATACTTTCTCCCTCACGACCGACTCTCTCTCTCTCTCTCATTGTGGTGGTGGAAAGGTGGAGGGTGTTAGGAAGGAAAGCAAAGAAGACAACAAGCAATGAGAGGTGATAAAAGTGGGGGCGACAAAGGGTGACAAATGATAATTGGGATGGATGGGAATAGAATTGGAATTAATTGGAGTGCTAAAAAAAAATCAAATTAAAAATTGTCTTAAGATATGAGCTATCCAACCATTTTGTTTAGTGCATTTAGAGGGTCCATCCTAGTACACAATTTTAAAACCTTTATATAATGGAAAAGGCCACATCTATATCGTGTCTATTTTTTGAACCTTTTTTAAAGGTTGCACATGGCCGGCTTGTACATCGATCGTCTATATTTATACTGTGTCTATATATATTTAGATAAATTATATTTTGTTTTTTTTATATTTAGTCATTTTTTTAATTTTGATTTTTAAAGTTTATTTTTTTTTATTTTTATCCTTCATTTTTCAATTTTTTTTCAATTTATTCCAAAAACTAATTTATGTTAAAAATTAGAAAAAAAAAATTATACATTAACAGTCACGTGTTATAAAAATATTTTATTACATATAATTTAAATCTCTAATATAAATAAATATTATAATATATTTTTTATGTTATGTGATAGTTATAATAGCATTTTATGTATAATTTTGAATAAAAATTAGCTTTAGGAGTAAATTGAAAAAAACTTGAAATATAAAGGTCAAAGTTAGAAAAAATAAACTTTAAAATTTTTTTTTTTTTTTTTTTTTTTTTTTTTTTTTTTTTTTTTTTTTTTTTTTTAATTTGTTTTTTTTTTTTTTTTTTTTTTTTTTTTTTTTTTTGTGAACTAACTAGCCTTTTTAGTTTGATATCAATATTTTGAGCACACTAATGTCTTTATTTATTGATCATTTTTTAACGGAGTATTTGAGGTTGAAATTTTCTCATTATTAATCCAGAGAGTGAAATTCATTATTTAAAATTAAATAATTATATACAGACAAAAAATTCATATAAAATTTCAGTACATAATGATTGGCTTGATTTATACTTTACAATTTAAAACAAAACACTCATAAATATAGTTTTTATTCTCAAAATTAACATTTTCACATTGTTCATATGGTAGTTTTAAACCGTGAGATTTGTAATTTTTGTGTTAATGTTTCAGTCAACATGGTAGGAAGTGTCCTTTAGTAATCGGCCTAGAGCATTGCGTAGACGGGGGAGCAATAAATTTTTTGAAGAAAAATTGAATTAAATAATAAAAATGTTAGAAATTTTAAAAAAATTTATCAAATATTTGTGTAGATCTCATCCAATGTGAGATATTTGGTAAAAATTTTAATAAAATTTTGAAATTCTTAACATTACTCATTAAATAAAGCGATAGACTTGCTTACTAGTAGTCAATAAAACAATGATTTAAAAAGGAGAATAACAACCCATGTTATGTTCCCTTTTTACTCTCAGTTGATCTCGGTGTTCTTTATATATTTATGTTTTTTGCATAGTTACTTTTGCAATCATAAAAAGATTTGAGTTAAAACTGTCAAAAGTGGAATGATGATTAATTGGAGGAGATGTGAATATTTTCCACTTCACAATTTTAAAAAACGTTTTATAATTGAGTAATGATTCATCCCCCTTTTCCCCCACCCCCTTTGACCCCCTCTCTCTCTCTCATTGGTTACCTTTTCTTTTTCTTTTTCTTTTTTTTCCTGCTCCTCCAATCACCCCCTGCCACGTGGCAAAGGGGGGTGAGGGGGTGACCCCCAAAAGGGAGTCCCAAGCATTATTCTTTATAATTAGTTACATGTATTTTCTTTCTATTTTTCAATTTTTTAAATTTTGCACATGCATAACACGTGCGTTCTATATCTATTTCTATAGTGCATGTATAGCTTTTTTTTAAAAAATTCTATAGGCAAATTATAATGCGAGAGCTAAATGTGTTGGTTCTGCAACACATTTAGTACTTTTCTTTCGTGGAATGAAAATTAAAATGGAGTGGAAGCAATAAATCCTTATGTGGCATTACTGCCAATCCTTAAAAATTATATATCAAGATGATTTTTAATTATAAAAATGTGATCACAATCATTCTGTAGCTTTTAATCATGAAAAATTCGACAATGCTACGTAGCTCAAATTTTGTGGCTCAAAAGTGGCTCAAATGGCCAAAACGACGTCATTTTGAGTACAAAACAACATAAAAATGGCTAAAACAACGTCGTTTTGGCCATTTGAGCCACAAAATTTGAGTTACGAGACATTTTCCTGAAAAATTATCATTCGGCGATATTTTTCAGAATAACTTTCAAAGAAGGTAGACATATTTAAAGCAAAACATGGACATATTTCCTGATTTACGCACAAACTTTCAAAGAACACTAGGTTTTCACATCCATTTCAAAGAAGCTCTAAAGTTAAAAATAAGCTTTTTACTAAGCCAAAAATATGATCATCCTCACAATCTCTATCATCTTAATCAGTAAATGGTTTCTTGTGCATGTGTTTTGAGTTTTTAATCGAATATGCATAATATCAAATAGTAGAAGAGTATGAAAGCTTACAATTTTTCATTGCTATTAAGAATAATTTCACAATTTAGCAAACAAACAGAACCTATGCTTTTACAAATCATTAGAACTACAAACAAGCATGAGTATTGTGGGCATATGTGGAAATTTAAGCTCTCAAGGGTATAGGTTATTGATATCGAAAATGCATTTGTGTACACATGCTTAGTGTGAATTTTACAATTTTTCTACAGGAAAACCAATAACAGGTTTTGTTTCTGATGCCAAAGAACGCAGCTCTTCAATCTCTTCATCGGTGAGTCTCCATGCCAGTGCACCAGCAAACTCTGCAGCCTGTTCACCATTTTTGGCCCCCGGAATTGGAATAACATTCTCTTGAGATATTAACCAATTAAGGACGACCTGTAGAGTAGAATCAATTTATTACAACATCTTCGCATAAAGAATCCAATGGCTCTCAATAAACATAAATTTTTTAGTTTTTTAACATTATAGTGAGTTATTACATGAAGGTTGATTGCAAAATTAAAATACTTGAGTTTTATAGTTGTACAATGACCTTAATTATAATATGAAGTATTTTTGGAGAGAATTTTGTGCACGTAACATAGGAAGAGGAACTAACAGAAGAACCACTGCCAACTTGCAAACTATAGATCTGATAGAACTATTCGTAGTAATGTATTAGGGAAATTACTTGACCTACATTTATGACCATTGTCCACTTCTATCCGAAAATGATGTCCAAGGAGATGGAAAAGAGGACTCTTCGAAAAAGAAGAAGGTGACTAGGTTTATAACTGTTTCCATTCATATCAGAAAAAGTTAATCTCTACAGAAGTAAACTTATTGGAAGCGTCCATATCGAATAAGGCAATAACTGGAACGGCCTTTCGTATTTTCCAAGAAGAATCAGTAAATAACACAAACCAGTAAAGAACAGAGAGAACCTGTGTGGGAGTTTTCCCATAGTTCTGTCCTATCTCCTTGATTCTGTTTATCAAAGGTTGGAGCTACGCAACACAAAATATACTCGAGTGAATGAGTTGGAAATATTGAAGTTTAATTGATCGTTATATATTCCCAGGACCATACCCTTGTCAGGAACTCAGGGGTGTAAATCCTCCCTCGAGGACCAGTGGGAGGATTTTCTGGTGTATACTTTCCTGTCAAAGCACCTGCATAAGTTGAAAGACACATGTTAGGCACATTTTGCTCTAATGTTTCCAAAAAATAAGGAATATAAATGTCCATAATAAGTATTTTTTTTATTTCCATTTAACATTAAGATATAAGCTTCTATCAAGTATTCATTTTCTTTCTGCACTATTAATTCTCAATTATATGACTTCACTTCTTGTATGTTTGTAAAAAGTTTCTGCTTGGTTTCACTAGAAGATCAGATGTTTCAAACTGCAAACTTCTCTCTTCACCATTAGCGGGATGTTTCTCTCTATGTATTGCATATCTGAACCTCAAAGAGTGATCATTACAATGGGTGTTCCAACCCTTGCATTGAAGAAAGGATAGTTGTATATTTCTTACTTGTGGACAAAATATAAACATAGTTGAGCCAAAAACATGTAACTGTATAAGCACAAATCTTGGGAGAGTTTATGAGTTCTTAGAGTGAGTCGGCATCAAAACTTACTTTCCTAATCTGATTCTAGGGTGTTAGGTATTGCAGGGATTTTTGCAAGGAAACTGATGTTAGTTGCCCTCACAGAGATTTTCAGGATGCACTTCTGTTTTGACTCAAATTACAGCCTGAAATTGTAGTGATGGAGTGTCATGAGCTGTTTATAAATATGAAACACGAAGTAAAACAGTTACAACAACAATAACAAATAGTCACTAAAGACTAGGCTAGACCTCCTCATCAATTTTCTCCCCAAAAAGAGAAAAAAAAAAGGTTTTTTATTTTCATTTCTAGTCTGACAAGGGTTTTAGGTTTCGAGTTCCACAATATGCCATCAGTCAAAGAAGAAAGAATTCAAAGTTTTTATGAAAGTTGTTTCACAGGTATAGTGTGTAAAGATTTCATAGGGATCCCGCAAGGATGAAGAACAGAGATGTCACACTGCAAGAAGTAGGCAAACAAGGTTTTGCTCCAAGGACTCAATAGCTTAGACACTGAAAAGCAGGGAAACAAAGTTTTATTTTCAAGACTCACTGTTTCAGAATCCAGAACAATGTTGCTGGTTATGCTTTATAGTCTTTGTAACAGTTACAGTTGTACATCTCATGTTTCTCATCTCATCTGCACTATATTTAAAGTGAGCACCTCAGGTAATCTTCACTTTTGCATTTTCTCTATGGTCACAACAAATAGTACGATCTCCTCTTTGGTATAGGAAAGACTTTTCTGAACAATGTCACCATTAATTTCCAATGTGTGCATTTTATTTTCTGAATCATCTCATTATTTGGTTCAAGCTCACCGCTTTACCTTGACTATAGTATCCAGAAAAAACATTAATATGCCCAAGCATATCCACAAATGCTGAATGGAATTTATTTTGTTGGCATATTGACAGATAACATTAGATATACTATGCAGGCATAGCTACATATACTAGGAAAGAATACAAAATGATTATTGTTTCACCTTGAGCAATAGGTGAATATGCAATCAAAGTGATCCCAAGTTCATCACAGGTTGCCTTCACACCATTCTCTTCTGGAAGCCTGTAGATTAGACTGTAATTGACTTGGTTTGAAGCCAGTGGGATGCCTCGTTTTTTAAGCTTTTCATATGCATCACGAAGACGGTTTTCTGAAATAAGGAAACATGTCTATTTATCAAAACAATATATGCTGCGGGATGAAAAATCTGGCATAATTGCCAGATTCACAAAAATGCCTTTTGCAAATAAATTTGAGTATCCCCCCTTAAATAGTAAAAAAAATTAAATAAAAAGAAGATAACGATGAAGCTGAAGAAGAAAGGATTCAGAGGCCTCTAGAGGCTCCAAAAACGACATAAAGGGCTTTCAATATGTATAAGGCAATCCCTAATTGATTATTAGGGTACCATAGCATATTTCAGTAAGTGTAACCTAGATAACCAGGAGCAACTGAAAATGACAACGTTACAATGTACCATTATAGTTGGAAACCCCAATAGCCTTCACGAGACCCTGCTCCACTGCATCTCCAAGACCATCAATATATCCTGCAAGATGATTTTCCAATAAATTAAGCCTCTTCTGAACCTTAGCATGGTTGATATATATCCAATTTGAGTTACTACATCAACCCATTGCTGAATGAAACGACAGATATGAATGAACGACCTTCATTTCCCCATACTCCTGGCCTAGAATTTCACCACAACACATTAATTAATAATTGATATGATAACAAAAATTCACAGAACAAATGCAGTTGAAAGGCTAATAAAGCACACACCAATGGAGTTGATAGAGGTCCACTGAAGAAAGCCCAAGACGACATAGTGAGTCCTTAAGGGCAGTAAGGACACTCTGACGGCCCAGCCTCCATGGCAATGCTGCAAATTTGGTTGCAACAGCAACCTCCACTTCAGGATTCCTTTCTTTTCTTTCCTTAATAAATCTATCAAAAGAGGTCATTTATGATTATAAGAATTACAAGCGTTAAAAGAAAACAAAAATGTCCATCTTTAGGAAGTATGTGGTAGTGGTACAATGAAATGCAAAGCATGAGGAACTTCTTAGAATTACCTTCCTAGTAGTGTTTCGGAATTTATTGCACCAAACGACATCTGAATCAATAAAAAATGTGGCTCTGATTGAGTCATTAACGTTTTCATTGCAAAATGCAGAAAGGAAACAGTGCAAATCAAATTCATTTCTCACCCTTGAGCCATAAACCTCGGCAGTATCGAAGAAGGTAATACCACAATCTACACTGGTATCAAAAGCAGCCTTAGCTGCCTTCATCCTCCTATCTACCGTCATCACAAAGAGGGAAAAAATAAATAAAGCACAATTATCTACACTAAACTGAAAATAAACTGAGACATTGCTGTTGTTTAACTTAACAACATAAGAGCATCCCAATCTGTCACCAAATCCTTCATCAAATTTAATTTTGACGAAAAAAATGGAGAAAATGAGATCCAATCCTTTCATAAAACTTGTGTCAAAACAAGTTTTTCACCAAATAATTCACCAAAACAGTTATGAATCAAATCTTTCACCAAATCTCCAACAACCATTTTTTCACTTTAAGTTTGATGAAATCGTTAAAAGATGAAGGATTGGAGATGGGGTTTTTTCACCTGAATTGAAGGAGGCTTTTGGGATAGGTTAGGTATTTTTAAAATATTTGATGAAAATTTTGATTGTCACCATTGGAGTGAGCTATATCAAATCAAGCTTTTGTTCTAAATTATTGAATAAATTTGATGAGAAAAAACGTGAAGGGTTGGAGATTCAAACCAGCAGAAAACATTTCAAACCAGAGATCACAGCCAAAAGTGAGGGGAAAAGAAAGGGGACTTGGTCCTAATAGGTGAATTTATTGTCTAATAGATCCTATGAGGATTAATGACATTTTTCATCAAACATTATTAAAAAAATCACTAATTGTTAATTTTCAATGACAGTTTAAAAAAAATTTCACAAAAAATGTCACTAATTATAAGTTTTAACAACAGTTTAAAAAAATCATCACAAACAAATCACTAATTTTCAACTTTCAACTATAGTTTGAAAAATTCATCATAAAAAAAATTACTAATTATAAGTTTTAGCAACAATTTATAAAACCGTGACAAAAAAAAAAATTTATTAATTATTAATTTTTAGCGACGGATGCAAAAAATTGTCACAAAAAATTATTTTCAACAACAATTTTAACAAGACTTATTTTTATTTTCACTCGATAGGAATTAAAGTCCAACTATTAGTACCTATTGGTGGTGTACCCATAAAAAAAATAATAATAAAAAAAAAAAAAGAAGAAAGAGAGAGAAGTGAGTGCTTGGGGGGGGGGGGGGTTACACCTATAATTTCGCAGATACATGAAAATCACCTATAATTTCGCAGATACTTCAAAATCAACAAATTAGTGGTTAATAATATAACAGAAAAGTTCATTGAGAATCACAATTGCACCAAAAAACAGACAGAAAAACAAAAAACAAAATAAAATCCATCAATGCCAAATTGCCAAAGTTGAATCTACTACAAACTTGTATCTCTCAAAATGTTAAATACAACGAAAGACCATTGGAAACTAAACCTTGGTATGAACATCATATTCTCAAAATGCCCAAAATTAAAGCAAATGCTACAAATAACAATATAAATGCTCTAATAAAAATGAAAAATTAGTGTTTGTTTGTTGTTTTTATTTTAATTATTGGTTCAGAAACTAACCATCCCACTCAAAATTGTTCCAGTAACTGGTGTCACCCCAAGACCAAGCTCCAATCCCAAGCCTCGACACTTTCAACTCAGAACCCCCCAGTTTCGCCTTCCCTTCTTCCGTTTCTGTTGAAACAGCGGCTCTGATTCTCTGAACTTTCCTGGGACTGAAAGTAGCAGCCAACAATGCACTGCTAACCTGGAGAGCCATTATTCAAGTAATGTCGATCAATTCAGGAAGCAAGCTGAAATGGGATTTTACGACTTAGACTGATGAATTTTCTCTCGATGATTTTCCCGGAATATTTATGGGAAAATGCATTGAAAATTAACAAGAAGGCGAAGAAGTGACACGTACTTTATGATATGGTTCTTACACCTTGCTCATTTCCACGCCTTTGGGCCATACGATTTCCATGAAATAAAGATTATTTCAAATTGGGGTTGAGTTTATTTGGGACTTTGGACTTGGTTGGTTCTTAAATTACCGTTTATTTATTTATAATAATTTAATTCAATAGAGATTCATTTTATTAAATTTATTACGTGAAATTATATTTTTAATGTATTTGATTTTGGATGGACTTTTTTTTTCATAATATGTTAGAGCATCTCCAACGATAGTAGGCATTTTACCTATCTAAATATTACTATAAAGTATATATTTTATTTTGCCTATCAACTGTTTTATGTTTTTACTCCAACCATGCTCTTTATTTTAGTTATTTATCCAAATACTATTAATTTTATAGAATGACACGTCAACAACAAAGATGGAGGGAAATGATCCTAATGATTGAATATATTTTGCCTAGCGTTGAAGGCTAGCTACATGTAGCTAGTGAATATGAGTTGAGCCAAAATGCCTACTCATATGCCTAGTGCATTGGAATTGAAAAAAGTGAATCACACTAGGCATTTTAACTAACAAGTATTATATGCCTAGTGCATTGGAGATGCTCTTAGTAGGACACGTGTTAGACACCAATTTAAAATAATATAACAAAATAAAAATAAATAAATCTCAACGTAAAAAAACGTCTACCTCTAATATAAAAGGGATCTTTTTCAGTAAATTCATTATCTAAGAGTGTTATTCCATAAGACCCATAGTGTTTTATAATATTCTATTAGGTTCATTTCATACAAAAAGACCATAAAAACCCTCAAACAAACACGCGACTCTCTCTTTTTTAATGTAATAACCGTCTCTCTTCCCCTCTCTATTCCTGCGCAGGAAATCACGCATAGTACCTCTACAGTCCAGAAATCAAAATCCATATTCCACATCGCATCAACACCCAGAAGACTGTGTTCGTTCCATCGTCGCAACGTCGCATCGTCTTATCATCTTCTCCGTCGTCCCTACGCCGAGAAGACTGTCTTCATTCCATCGTCGCATCGTCTCATCATCTTCTTCGTCGTCTCTACGCCCAGTAGACTGTCTTCGTTCCTTCGTCGCATTGTCCCATGGTCTCATCATCTTCTTCGTCGAAATGGGCAAAAAAAAGCATTCTACTCATTCGTGTATTTAAACCCTAAACCTCTTTAACAACAACCAATATTGTGAACTTTTACAAATATCCCCTGTTTCTATACATACAATATATAGGAGTTCATATTGTTCATACCCTAATATTTAGGCCAAGTTTGGCTACAAAGAAAAAAGTGCACTTATTTCATCTTTTTATCTTTTTTGGGTCATATCAATCAACATCTCCTCTCTACTTTTTCTACACATAATACAAAAAAAGTCAAAAAGTACACTTATTTAGTCTTCCCAAACTAGGCCTTAATCTGAACCCCTCAATCGTAATTCCTAATTATATTGATTTTTTCAGTCAAAAACATTACAGTTGCCATTACATTGTGTTCACAACTGTGAACATTCCAAAATGTTTCTATTGTAGTTGTTGTTATTGAAAAATGTGAACATTCATATTAATTGAAAATGGTTATTCGGTTGTTGTTCAATACTGTGAACATTCACATGGTTTGGAAAATGTTTTGGCCAATTCTGTTTTTTGTTGCTGTTGATAAAAGATGTGAACATTCACATTGAGTGAAAATGTTTGGGTAACCAGGGATTAAAGTTGTTGTTATTTTATGCTGTGAACATTCACATTGATTGAAAATGTTTGGCCAATTCTGTTGTTGTTCTTGTTGTTGAAAGATGTGAACATTCACATTGACTGAAATTTTTTTGAAAATCATATATTATTGGTGCTGTTATTCTATGCTGTGAACATTCACATGGATTGAAAATCATTTTATATGTTTGTGTTAACATCCATATGTTCTTCAATGGTGTTCATGGTTGTATAAAAATACATTATTTTTCACACACTCTCACAATATGTACATTGTGTTTGTGCTGACACAGTCAACATACACATCCATGTGCAGATGTGAATGTTCAAATCCACACACAAAATCTGGTTATTCACACTCATGCACACAACTGTGAACATGCACATCAGTGGCAATGCTATGAATGTTCACATCTGTTCCACTATACAAATCACATGAGCCTTGACTTAATTTTTTTAAAATCCTCTATTTTGCAGATGTTACACAAAAGAAAACCTTAAAGAGAAAGAGAGAGGAGTACCATGTCAAAGAAGAAACCCCACAAACAAATACTAGCATCAATGTCGACATGCGCCATGTGAACTATAGATCTAACATGACCGGATTTGTAAAATTAATGAAAAGCACCAAGTTCACACAAGCACAGCTTGGCTGCCAGCAACAAACACCATTTTAGAATTTGTTAGATGCATTGAGAAACAATCAGATCGACCTTGACAAATGCATGAAGTATGATGATGTTGTTGTGCATGTCCTACAAACGTACAAAGCTTCAAAAGATGTCTTTTACATTAGGGAGAAGAAGATGAACATACACAATAGCGACATCAAGCTGATTTTTGGTGTCGACTGTGGCAGCAAGCCGATGGACATATCATATGGTGCGAAACCAAAGACTAGCATTATAAAAAAAAAATGCAAAAATGTCAGCCGGTTGACTTCAAAATGGATACGCACCCTTTTGACCGAGGCATTGAAAGGCAAAAAGAAAGATGACAACGAAGAAGTTGCCCGACTAGTATGCATGTATGTTTGCCAAAAGCTTTGTTTCTCAACAAGCGGAGAGATAATAGGATGGGGCTACTACGTACATATGGTCCCATTGGAAAGCATGCAAGAATTTGATTGGGCGAAGTAAATTAGAACAACGTTGACATCGTCCATTTCCCAAAATGACAAAAAGCCAACAAAAGTCACCAACTGTGTCATGTTATTGATGGTAAGTACCCATGTTGTCAAATAATACCATTCACATGTCCTTCAGTGTTGTTTATCTAAGCTAACTGTGAACATTCACAATAGTGCCACTGATGTGAATGTCCATAGGCACTTATGTTTCACAGATGTGAAAGTTCACATCTGAACCACTGATGCGAATGTTCACATTCACTCATAATATAGTGCTGTGAATGTTCACAACAGTGCCACTGATGTGAATGTCCATAGGCACTTTTGTTTCACAAATGTGAATATTCACATCTGAACCACTGATGCGAATGTTCACATTCACTCATAAATATACTAATGTGAATGTTCACAACAGTGCCACTGATGTGAATGTCCATAGGCACTTATGTTTGACAGATGTGAATGTTCACATCTGAACCATTGATGTGAATGTTCACATTCTGTAACGCCCTCAAAATAAACCCATAAATCATACATTCTTGACATGCTTAAACATAAAAGAGTGAAGCCTAATCACATTTCATCAGAGTATTCATTACAAAATGTATTACACGTTGACAATAAAAGTAAATGCCCTCTAGACTTACAACTTTCCAAGTCAACACTTGGTTACAAAAGGAGAGTACTAACTCTACACAAAAGAAGTCCTTGGCCTGATATACATGTAATACAAAAATCTAATCACAGAAGATGTCCCAGCCACTAAGCCTCTCAAGCTACGTCCTTGGAGGTGGCATGCTACATGTACCTAAAAATGATGTCCCATATAGGGTGAGCCAACGCCTAGTAGAGATATGCTAAACATAATATGAGCAATAACTAAAATATTAGCACTTGATAAACAAAACTCAACTAATAAACATGGCTCAGATCCTGGCCAAATAACTGAAATGAGGGTACATCTCGTGCCAACAATACTACAACTTGTCATTTTACGGAAATTGCGTCCGCGGGATTCGGTACCCATGTATTTTCATTCTCTTATGGCCATTTTACGGATATTTCATCCGCGGGACTCGGCACCCATGTATAGATATATTCGGATTGCCATTTTACGGAAATTGCGTCCGCGGGATTCGGCACCCATGTATAATTACATTCAAATGGACATTTTACGAAAATTTCATCCGCGAGATTCGGCACCCATGTATTCAAATACACAACTTGATTAGTTTCAATTCACCTAATCATAATGCAATGTCTACAACAATTAAGACTATCCTCCACCGATAGCCCAAAGCAGTTTTTTCTAAACAGATAATAAATGCCTCAACAGATATATAATTGACATTTTCAAAAGTGAGTGATTTATAAATCCAACTCCACCATTCTATCACTTAATGATCAAATTTCAATATCCCCAACTCAATTTCATAACAAATGTCATTAATTACACTAATGACCCAAATATACCCAAATATGGCATTTTTCCCTTTAAACTCAATATTGACCCAAAGGTCCAAATAATACCAACAACATCAATAATCTCTTTTTAAGACCCCAAATATATATATATGAGTCAAAAAGACAAAACCCCTCTTTTTCAATATAATACATTACAAATCCTAACTTCCCAAACCAAACCATTTATACCAAAGCTCTACATTTAGGTTAAAGATCATAAAAATGAGTAGGAATCCCTACCTCAAGAGATGAAACCTAAAAGAAATGATGAAGAACTCAAAAATGCTCCAAATCCCAAGATCCTCGAATCAAAATGTAGCCATCAACGATCAACACACTTTTTACAAAGGCCCAAGGGTAGAAAATCACTCATACTAGATCAATCCTAAGAGAGAAGGAAGAAAGTAGTGAGAGAAGCTCTCAAAAATGGCTTTTCGAAAAAGTAAGAGAGAGAGTGAAAGTTGAAAAGTGATCTAAAAAGACCCAGCTGATATCTGATATACGTATGACCCGCTCGAGCGGAGAATAGGACGCTCGAGTGTCAGACACAAAAACTGGACCCGCTCGAGCATAAAGATTCCCACTCGAGCGCCAAGACACAACTGCAAAACACACCCGCTCAAGCGCAAAGGGAAGGCCGCTCGAGCGTAGATTCCCCCCTTCTAGAACTTTTACAGACAATGAACTATCCGCTCGAGTGCCAAGACACCCGCTTGA